GCTAATGTCTTTAGGATGCTATTGGAACTGTTCCTCACTCTAATGATCAGAGAGCTTGTATTATTTGCGAATGCCACTAAATTATAAGAGTTTATTTCATAGCAGTAGAAACTATTCTTACGCGGTAGAGCCACTGTGTAGCTATATTATAGTTGTAGCACGAATGGATCAGATCACAGATTACCAGCGTAAAATAGCAGCTTATTACTGCTATGTTTCGCATGGTGAGACCCTTTTTGGAAACGAGGCATTCCATCTTAATACTCAGAGGCGACAACGCATCTGAATTTTAATTCTTAATCGAAGATAAATGTAGATGTCTATGGGCCACAGCATCCACTTACCATCAGGTAGACTGTGTGCTCGTTTGTCACCCTATTCTATATGAAAAAAAAACACTAAAAATATGTATCCAGTAAAGTGAAGTAAAAGTTAATAAACAGCGCAGTGTTGGACACTGGCCTCCTCTAATTTCTGAGAACTTCTCGAACTTCTTAGGTGTGTTTTGATTAGTCTAGCCGTCAAACTACACGGTCATCATGACAAAATAACAATATCGTTTTTATCATAAGATTCAAAATTATAATATTTTTGTGCTCTTTACCGATTTACCGCGCTCTTTATTTGTTTCGAAATAGTTTCATTTTGCCGATGCGAAAGTTGTATTTGTATAATTGGACTTCAGACAATATTCAAAATGGGCAGATTGTAAAAGTACACACAGTACATCAGTAACGGTAAATAAAAAATCTGTTAAATCGGTTAATTAACTTACCTATATTTTGAAAATATGGCGAATTAATACCATCTCCTTTTTTCTAGATCGGTTAAAATATGTTACGTTTTAGATACTTTTCTAAATCTAGAAACCCTGTGTGGAAATAATAAGTGGTAAAATTAAAAATTTTGTACAATCGACTTCAATATAAATAAAATGAGAACATCATCAATGTAGTCGAAGTCAATAAAAAACTACTGTTCAAATCTTGCTCTTTATATGGCACCACATGAGAAGCACCAGCTTTCAAATAAAAAAAGAATCGTCAAAATAGGTTTACTTAAAGAAAACACATATACTGTCTAATTAAAACCTCCTCCTTTTTTGAAGTCGGTTGAAAATGGACCTTTATACAGTTAGGGTATATTTTAATTATTATGTATAAGGAATGTTGTATGAGGATTGACAGTGAGAATACCAATACCATTCCACGAAAAACAACAGCGAGGATCTGACCCGCACTTGACGTGTTTTTTCATCCTTTTTCAACTCAGCTGTTCATACAAATACGTTTACGTTATGAGAACTTTATTGCCTTTTAGCGATAAACGTAACGGTCGGTCGTCTTTAACTGTATTATTGAGATTTAAGTAAGTATTTAAGATTAGTTATTCAACGTTTAAGTTACTTAAGTACATTTAAAGGTATAACACTGAGAAAATAATGTGCGTGAAGCACAAAATATGATACGATGTAGTAATAATAAATAAACTACAGTAATAATACCAATTTTACAGATTTTACCAAATTAAAAAAATTAAATAATGTCCTACAAACCGATATTCGGTCACAGCAGTCAGTCTCAGTAGCCTGGCACTGGCGATCTGCGCAGAAAAGGATTATATTGCTCAAGTGTGTGCCCCAAAAACAGGTGCACTCTTTACTTTCGCACTTCGTAGTTAGATGGGACGGCAAGCCGACACAACCGGAGAGAGATCAGAAGCAGGACCAACGTGCTCTCTGAGGCAAGGGGGTAAAACACTGCCTACTTCGTAACCACATGATCGACCAATAACTTTATTTTTAAATACCTCAGTATGACAATTATTTTGTGACTTAATTTTTTAACCAAAGATAAGCACGTTTAACGATAAATAAATGTCAAATTTGATACTCATATCAACAAATTTTTACTTTATAAGACTAACCTATACATAATTTATAATTTTTTTACCCAAAGACGAGCATGCTTAACGATAAATAAATGTCTTTATACATAACACATAATTCTGTATGTATAAGACGTTTGAAGATAATCTTATTGTTAACAGCTTTCATATTGTTCAACTTTTAGGTGGTAGAGCCACGTTGCACTTAATTATGGTTGCAGTTCAGCTTGACTTGTTCGATTTTCGATTATAACCGTTTTGTATGTGAATAAATATTGAATGAAACTGATTGTACGAATTATAACTTTTGGAAAGTCAATAGTCAACTTGATATAATTTCTTTACATTCTTCTTCATCAGCCTGTAAAAACACTACTGGACATGAACCCTTCCCGTTGTAGGGAGGATTTGTCTTAATCATCAAATTTAACAATCATATTGACGATTGAGGAACCAGATGTTTCGTACCTTTGATGCTGCTACCTGTCGCCGGTCTGGCTATTTTACGGCTGCCATAAACGAAATGATTATACCGCCATCTATAGAATTACAGTACACGTTCTGAATTAAGAATATTAGACACAATCACTTGCATTATCTTACTCACATTTATGACAGTTCTATAACTGTAGTAAATTTACGACGACAGTTTTGTGACTGTCGTAAATGCGAGTAATCGGTTACTACATACTTATCTGACTAAACATAGAGACGCTTAATTGCCTTTACCTTCTTGAATTGAATTCATACGAGCTATATCATGGTTGTAGCACGAATGGGTCGGGTTTACTGGGAAGGACTACGCTTTCACAGTATACTAGCTTAATACTGCTGTGTTTCCTATGGTAAGTGTAGACATCCGGAGACTCTTGTTTACTGGAGGCATTCTATCTAAGTCCTCGGGGTGACAACGCGTCTGCATTTTGATTCTTAATCTGTGATGTCTATGGGCCACAGCATCCACTTATCGTCAGGTGAACTGTGTGCTCGTTTGTCACCCTTATTCTGTAAAAAAATGCATGAGGGATGCCTCCAATAAGATAACTGAGAGGGTTCAGAGAGAGGCATAATTATATTGGACTCAAACAATCCAGCCCCTTTAGCCAGTAGTGATGCAGCCCATCAAGTCCCAAACTTTTCCAGTTCGGGGTCCTACGGATCGCCTCAGGTACGTCTTTCGGAGTTATGATGACGGGCTCCATGTGCGTAACGCTCGCACACTGACTCGTCACAACTTATGTCCAATGTCCCTTGTCGTGAAGCGACAGTTAAAAAAACTAAAGAACCTAACCTAACAACGAAACAACCAAAAAGAAAATAATTTATTTAAAATTTGTAAAGATATTTACAGTTTCTTTTATAAAATGTAAAGCCACAATTAAAAACTATAGAACCTAACCTAACAACGAAACAACCAAAAAGAAAATAATTTATTTAAAAAATTGTAAAGATATTTACAGTTTCTTTTATAAAATGTAAAGCCACAATTAAAAACTATAGAACCTAACCTAACAACGAAACAACCAAAAAGAAAATAATTTATTTAAAAAATTGTAAAGATATTTACAGCTTTTTTTTATATAAAAAAAAGGTATGAGGGTGATGATGGGCTGTAGTGATGATAATGAATTACATTTTTTTTAAAAAAAATAAAAGTTAATAAAGATAAATGAGTACGGAAACAATGTATGTACAGTTACAGTACAGTACATGTTAAAGTAGGCACACACACACACCGCTCGGAGTAAGCACACACAACGCCCGGAGTAGACACAAACAGCGCCCGGAGCGCCGGAGACACGCAGCGTCTGGAGTAGGAACACGCAGCGCTTGAGACAAGCACGCACAGCGGCCGAAGATAGCGCGGGCACTAGTAGGTGGAGGCGTAGGCGTGGCTAGGCGACGACTTCAGGAGAAGGCAGAGGCTTGCAAGATCCCGAGGCAGTGCGGATAAAGCCTTTAAGAGGTGCTTCTCGTATCAAAGCTGAAGTGAGAACCCTATTGGCCGATTCTTCGGCTTTTATACTTTTTGACGGATCTGGGATAAGAACGAGAAATTATTTGAAATTATTTAAATTAAAAGCAAATTTTTGTAAATGGCCAAGAAGAAAAGAGTATTTTTGAAGTAAAAACATCAGGCCGGTAACGATATTTGAATAAAAATTGCCATGACAACCAGATAAACAACGATGTCAAAACATGTCAAATTTTGGTTTTAGGCTCGTAATAGAGAAACGGCAAGATTTAAGTGAAAAATGAGATATTATTGATATAGGAAAAAAGGTAGCGCAACAGTGCGCACGAAGCCCGAAATTGCAGAGTTACGGAGAACTAAATAAAATACCGAAAAAGGTAGACTCCATTGACACCGATTTAAAAAGTGCTGAAAGCGTGAAAATACGAAGTGAAAATGATTTTTTATTGTGTTCTTATGGTTTAAAAACATTACAGGATCCTATGGAAATAAAGGTGATGCAAAATATCCAGTTTTGAGGTGAATGCAGAAAATCGAAAACAGAATGGAAAAATAAATTTAAAATAGTGTAAAATGATATGTAAGTAGCATAACACTACACCCTCGCTGTGATTTACGGGCTCTGACCACAGCTCAAGCCAGAATGCGGCCGTGTCGGCCTGATTCGGTACTAGGCCCGTTCTACATACGCTTGGACATTGGTCACTTTTCAATTTATTTCATTCAATTATTTATAGAGCCTCTTCTGATCACTAGGGTTGAACTATCTTCCCCTCTCGGTATATCGCCGAATTCGCTTCCCTCAAGCAGCGATTCTTTGTTCAGGTCATCTATGCGTTCCGTTAGTTTCTGTTTGATATCCGGCTGTGACCAAACTGATATTTACCTTAGCAGGAACCACACTAACCGTGCGCACAACTCTCGGTCTATTATTACGCGACCTGAAGCTTGTTAGTTTACCAATGAGGACCCTTGTCGTTGCGATACGTTCCTCAATTCTTTATCTCGAGGCTGGAATGGCGCTACTTTGTTGGAAGCTTATTGTCAATAATACGGCAAACTGCCAGTGTGGCGCCAAAGAGAAATGAACCCGTCTCGCTGGTCCCGGCTGGCTTCCAAATAGGTCACCAGTATTGGGTTAAGAGCCCTTACGACAGCCCGATTCCACTTGCTTAGGGGTATGCGGAGTCAAGGTCGATTTTCGAGATGTGTACGGCGCGTTTCCGAAATTGCCTCTCCTAATATTCTCTAGTCCATGGGAGACTAATCCGTCATCGTCTGAATCAACCACAACTGGAAGATCTACGGCGGCATCCACGTGTGTGAGTTGCTCTGCAGCTTGTGGCGCCGCATGCCCGCGTAACATTTTCATCCGACGAGAGAACATCATCACGTTGTAGTCGTTCGGCGTCACACAATATGTTGGAGAACAGGATGTACCGAACTCCGTCTGCCAGGTTTTTCTCCGTTAGAGGAACAGATGGCTCCAACTCAGCAAAAAAATTATGTACTTATCCGAGCCCGATACGCCAACCTTTCAGTTTCTTCCCTTTTGAACTAAAATACGCCAGCACTGCGTCTGCGTTCATCATTTTAGTCCAACGCACGTGACATACATATTATTATTATTTGTAGTGTCTATATAGTTTTCTCATCTGGTTGGGTTCTATAAATATATAGTTATAAATTAAAATGAGAAGATAAATATACATAAATATCAATAAAATAAAATAAATACAAATATACATAAATAAATAAAAGTCCAACCAGATGGAAGCCCTCGGCAGGGGAGACCGAACGGCCGAGGGTTAGGAGGAAAGGGAAATAAACCGGCGGACGATACGGGCGGTATCGAGGAGCATCGCCTTCTGCATTTGAGCCCGGAGCGGTCCGTCACGTAGTCCCAGTCGCCTTAAATGACCCGAGTGGCTGAGATGGGATTAGCCCATTCGCAGAGACGACTACAGGAATAATTTCGGCCGGCAGACCACCCCACATGTCGGTCACCTCGTGAGCCAGGTCCAGATATTTTGTTCGTTTATCTGTTTCGGCTTTCACGAGGTTCTCGTCATACGGAATGGTAATGTTGACCAAAAATATCCTTGACTGTGGCCGGTCCATCAGCACAATATCAAGCTTATTCGCAAGAATAGTCCTGTCTGTGATGATGGCCCGGTCCCAGTAGAGCCTGGCGCGGTCATTTTCGAGCACGGCTTCCGGCAAGTACTTGTAATACGGCAATTACCGGTCCACGAGACCATATTTCAGAGCGAGCTCCTGGTGTAGAATTCTGGTTACTAGGTTGTGTCTGTGCAAGTACTCAGAGTTAGAAAGCGCCGAACAACCGAAGATGACATGCCTAAGTGACTCCCCAGGATGGCGACAAGCTCGACAGACGTCGACGGTGCCATCCTTTAGGATGTATCTCCGATAGTTATTATTATTATTATTGTTGTCTTGTACTCGTCGTGGACTTTGAGAAAGCTTTTGATACCCGCGAAATTTTGGTGGTACAGTTGATTCAGTGGTGCCAAGTTGTCAGTCGGTGTGAAGCGAGGCGGAAGTGCGGTAGTGTTTGTACAATAGAACTACAATGGCTTTCCGAGTACAGAACCGACTTTGATTCTGAACTGGAACGACGAGCACATCATTAACCTTCGATTTGCCAACGATATAAACATTATGGCAGAATCGCTGTAGGACCTCAGCACTATGCTCAGTGACCCCAATAGTGTCCACGAAATTTTGGTGGATAACGAAATAACGGATAGGATTTAAATTTCTTTTTTCTTTTCATAATAAGGTCAACGACAAGTTGTTACTACCTTATTTAAGTAGACAATAAACATCTTTGGGCAAAAACATATTTATCATAATAGTTTTTTTTTTAAATTACCGGTTTACAATTCCCAAATTCTAAGCACGATTCGATTGATCGATTGGCAGCCGTTGGTAATACTCGTTCCAAAAAGTAAAAAAACAAGTTCATAAATCAACCTCTTTCAAACAGTAGGGCAATAATAGTGCACTATATTTTGTGTTATTATCCGTATCTATAGAGTAATATTCTGGATGGTTCGGGTGGGCGCAGAGAATGTGGATATTTCGGGGCATTGTCGCTCGCCCACGTCCAGCTATTAGCAGAAAAATGTTACTAAAATACCTACTTTGTCGTAATTTACTATCGGTCTTGTGCTGGGTTATCCGATGAGATTGGTCAGCGTTGATTGTTTGATGTATTCATACTCGTATCAATGGAACGGTGACAAACTTCCAATCAGATGCTTAATATCTTTAACATCAAAATATAAGGATTCAAGGCGCGTTACTTTTAATTTATTTGTGACATTAATGCACTTAAATTTTCAAATTTGCACTCTTTTTTTTGTATAAACTTTTATCTTTGTTACTTACCAATATTCCTAAGACGTAAACCTAATGGAAGATATGTGTTCCAAGGAGGCGCATTCTCTCGGCCATTTCCGGTGGTTGCTTACAAAAAACAATATTAAATATAAACTTGTTGTCCGAAGCGACCGTACGAACCGGCCGGTCGAGATACTTGCCGCGATTAAAAATCGTTACAACTTCCGTTCGGTCCGAGTCTCGGAGCGAGCCCCAGATAAAAAAGATAAATAAGAAAAATAACATAAAGATCGATACGGCAGTAAGGCGCTACTTGTTTTTTCACCGCTCTTAGAGCTTAAGCCCAACGGAGCGCTTGCGTTGCGTTGCAGTCTAAATACCTACTTATTTATAATATTTTATAATGTCTGCATACCCCGGTTCAATCTGGTTGACATGTTTTGGTCCTTCGTTTTTGAAGTTCTAATTTAGATATTATAATAGTTAATAGTTGTAGTAACCGTCTAAATGTGCACCCTCGACCCTCGAGCACCATCGGAAATGTGCACCCTCGAGCACCGTCGGTTATAGGTTTATAGGCATAGGTCGTTAAATTTGGTCATAAGTCAGAACTTATCTTTTTTATTTTTTTAATAATTTATAAGCAATATTTTATTACAGTAGGTTACACTAGGAGAAATAAAGGATATGAATTGAGACAACAAACTCTCCAAGCCATGTGCGAGCCAACTAACCACACCTTTCTTCGACCCGGATTTATAAACAAAAATACTCGTTGCATTAGCCAATTAGTTGTAAATTCTTTCGTTATTGTAAAAGTAAATACACGATTAATGATTATTCTTCGGAAGCTATAAAATATATATTAGATAGAATGTAACAAATATTTTAATTAAAAAATATATCAAATGTCGAATTGATAATTATATTTATAAAAAGTTTATTTACGTTTAACATATCGAATCCTAATAAAACGGCCGTCATAACGACCGCTAATTCCCAATTCCAAAAACGATAATGCCGGTCTCCGCTGATGATGTCACGTATCCGGCTGCATGAGCTATAAATCGAAGGGGTAAGGTGTTTTACTTCGATACAACCGGTCATAGAAGATATCAGATTAATAAGAGATTTCGATGTGAGTGGACGAAATGAGCGGCAATTTCACAAGTGCGCCATGATAATTAAAGTTGGTTGAACGTGTGTGCGTTGGCCAGCGCGGGTGCTGAGCCGAGCGGGGCGTATCGAGTCTGGTAAGTACCTATGCGGCGTAACTCCGGTAGCAGCACAACAGGTCTGCGGGGGCTGGAGTGGAGAGCGGGGCGGGCGGCGGTAGGAAATCCTGTACTCGGGAACGCACACAGCGACGCGACGTGTCTGTGTGCGCCATCCGGTTTTGTTAGCGCGTGAGCAGCTACACGGACGCAGTGCTAGTGTAGTAGTGCCTGCCTATCGAGTCGATCGATCAATGAGGTCGACATCGCTTCGAACTGTTGCCTGCATGCGACTCATTGATTAACGCTATGAACGTGGAATTGCTTATTCATTCATGATGAATATTTTTATATCAAATAAACGTTTTTGTTGTACCGTATCCTACAAGATGACCTTTTAAAGCAGACATGCGATGTTGCGAGGAAGGTGAGCATATTGGATATGCTGACAATATTTAAACAAACCTCGCTTGAATATAAAGAGCCTCACCAAATTCTTTGTAATGTAAAATTACAGTAAACCAGTAATAGCCTAGTACTAGAAATTCGACCGTAATTCATTACATTGGCCGTTGGTGGGCTTTTTGGTTTAACGCTATTGTGGTTCCTTTGTCAATCATTTTACTTTTTTTATTTTAAAAATAATTAAAAAAAAAAACTCAAAAATTAATGCTTAAAAACTATTATATAATTATATAGCCTTGAGGCAGATTATCTTCAAACTGTTCTCCAATTCCAATAAACGTGATAGTGTCACGCTGCAGCTATATTATGGTTGTAGCACGAATGGGTCGTCCAGGGAAGAACCACGCCGTCACAGAATACTCTCATAAAATAGCAGCTTAATGCTGCTGTGTTTCGTATGGTGAGTGTAAAGAATCGGAGACCCTTTTTACTGGAAACGAGGAATTCCATCTCAGTCCTCAGGGCTGGCAACGCATCTGCATTTTGATTCGTAATCGAGGATACATATAGCTGTCTATGAGCCACAGCAACCACTTACCTCAAATAAAAATCTACTTCCGCACTTACGATGTAGATGCTAGATATCTGTTACGTAATCGCATGAACGGTATGTGCACTTACCTACGTCAAAGACGAGCGTGTATAAAATTATTTAAAAAAATTTAATAAAAATAAATATTGATGCAAATGGATGCAAGGATAACAAACTAAGACCTACGAATATATCTATTCTCAATTAGAAATTAAAATGCACATACTCTTTCACCCCTGAGGACAAAGGTTACTCTATACTTAAGGACTGTTTTAGACTATAGTCTTACTAAGTCGCCCCTGGGGAATAAGGTTACTTTAGACTTAAGGACTATTCTGGACTATTAACGTTTTTCCCCGGTCGAGCCGACCCATTCGTGCAGCAGCAATTAAAAGCCACAGCGTAGCTCTACCACGTACAATTTTCTCATGTTTATTAATAAATTAAATATTTTCCTATGGCTAGACCATTTTGATTAAAAAAAATACTTGTAAGGCTTGGCTCGGGGGCACGCTTTGTGAAAATATATACAGGCCTATATTTAGTAGTGTCCTCAAATCCTGAACACGCTGATACTATGTGTAGTCATACATTTTATGTTTTGTGTGGTAGACTGATTCCAAGAAGTGGATCTAAGTGAAACCGCTTGTAGAGTTATTGTTTTATATGTTTTGCATGCAATTAGCCATAACTTGTCAGTCATCAGCGATAAAAGGGAGTGATGATTCAATCACATACAATGCATGCGTAAGGGTTTTATGATTGATACACTAAAACCGCAAAAAATGTTTTATCACCTCTCGTCGAAAA